ATTTTGTATGCTGTCAGTGTGGCTGTTTTCTCTTTCATACAGACGTTTTATTTGTTGACTTCCCGACAAGTGAAAATCCTTTGCGTTGGAATCCTTTCAGGTTTGCGCTCTGTTCCCGCACATTTGCATGATGTTAGGCCTTTGCTGCTTAGACCCTTTGCTGTCTCACAGCTACAATTGTTTAAAGGAATGTGTCGGAATATCCCTCTTTTGCCAAGCCATTATAACAGCCTTTTTTGCACCTTTTCGCGTCAGGTTCATCAGCCATGACACTTGGATTTTAACATTGCCACAGTCTGAGTGGCAGCGCCGAAAACTCTCGAACCCACTTGTTGTAGAATGCAAGCAACGTCCGCTAAAGTAGAGGGCTTGACTCTGATCCTTTTTCATACCGACCAAGCCTCAAAACTCATTGTGTCAACCTCTAAATCCATATGTCAAGACTTGCAGCACATGTTCTCACGGCCCCGTGTGTTAAGATGCACCGTCGTTCGATTGACTCCGCAGTGTTCTCTCAAGCTGTATGAAAAGGTGCCCCACCTGATTCCTTTTCGACGCGGACGACCCAATTTGCGCCGGTTGTCGCGCTGTGCGGCGCATCCGGGAGTTGGTCGCGTAAGGCGAGAGCGGTGAGCGCTGTTAGGGACTGCGTGGGAGCACTGACAGATTTGGCGAAGCAGGACCGGTCTTGGAAAAGGAGAAGCAAGAGGCAAATCCGGAGGAGGCAATTGCAGGTGGGGCTCCTACATCGGTTGGTGACGAGCAGCCACCTGTTGTTGGTGCCGAGCGTGAGGGCGAGAAAGAGGACAAAGATACCGCAAAGCTAGCAGCAGCTCCTGGGGTTGAGCAGAGCCAGGAGGGTTCACGAAGTCTGCAACCGGCTCAGAGAAGGAGAGGGACAAAAGGCGTCAAGCACCGTGAGAGGGGGAAGCTTCGACGTCTTGGCCTTTATCAGGTGCAATGGCGCCCAAGGCCAAACCCAAAGCGCTGCCCGCCGTCCAATGAGGGTGACAGCAATGAGAGTTGGCGCGTTGAGGAGACCAGCAGCCGGGTGCCTGTGGAGGACATGGGGATTGGGGCGACGGTAGCCTTGCAACGTACTACGCAGCCTCGTGCAACGCGGCAGGGACTTTGAAGTCGGTGGATGTCCAGCCGGGTTCGATTCACTCTCAGGGACAAGTTCAGAGGCCCTCTTGAAGGACCAGAGTTGGAAAACAGGGGTCGCACTTCGAGTAGATCGTTGTCCCCGCAACTGCACAGGCGAGAGGATGGCAGACGACCTAGTTCACGGACGTCGAATGATGAAGCCAGGGACTATCGAGCTAGAAGAAGGCTGGGTCCGCAACTTGAAGACTGTGGATCCAGGAGACGACCAGCCCTGTTGTGGAAAGAGTGACCGCAACTCGGATCTAGACTCGTGGGTGAGACACCCATGACGCCCCAGCAGGTGGTTGACAAGTGTCGCCCAGGCTCTTCAGAGTCACTGCAAGGGCGCTTGGTTCGTTTGCGGATGTGCCGTGCGGGAGGAAAGGAACATATAAACTCCCTTGAGCTGGTGATACTCAACGCAGTACGCTGGAGAGTCGAGCGTTGTGGGCACTTGGGCCAGCGAACGCTGCGCTTAACTGACTCTCTTGTTTGTCTCCACGGGCTCACGCGTGTGGCAGGGCCAGCTCCCGACGACTTCGCAGTACAATGGCATGCATCAACGCTCTTGTCCTTTGTTCCGGCTCTCAGCTTGTCTGGGCATATGCGTCGACTGATGCCAACCCTGCCGATCAGCCAAGTCGGTGGGGGGCACGTGTCAAAACTAAGTTTCGGAACGCTTAAGCGCATCTTAGAGGGCGGAACAGAGGGAGAGCGGGCCAAAAATTGCGTCGTCAACTTGGAAGTCTCAAACAGCTCACAGTGCAACCAGCTACTCGTAGGCACTATGACAACGCTGTGGAATCTCCGTAATGAGATACCCAGTTGCGCGCCTCCATTGCCGGAGCACGTAGTCCAAGCCATGGCTGGCTGGGCAATTTTTAACAGTTGGCATGGTTTTGCAGTTTCATTGTTGGTAGGTTTTTATTGCAGGCTCCGGACCGGAGAAGTCCTCAGGGATTCGATCCAACCACATAGAGTGTTCCAACCCCACACTCCAGGCTGTCATCAGCCTTAAAGGCGGGAAACGTCATGGGGCTGCTGAAAGCGTGGTCCTGGGACTCGAGCCTGTCATACGCCTCGTAAAGGAATGGAAGAAGGTGGCAGCCACAACCACAAGTCTAACTCCCTCTCCGCCCAAGTGGTGGCAACTGTTTAATCAAGCCCTAGCAGCCTTGAAGATTGACGTTTTGAATTTTCGCCCCTACTCGAGAGATGTGTGCATCTTTGTTCTTCCGGCCCCGTGTGTTAAGATGCACCGTCGTTCGATGGACTCCGCAGTGTTCCTCTCAAGCTTCCCCACTCAACGTCCCGGAGCTCCTGCTCCTGAATGGGAATGAAATCGATGAAGAAATCCGCAAAGAGAGTAAAATGAGCTACAGCCGAAGAATCTTTCTCACCCTGGGTGTGGCCGGGTGTGTAAAGATTGCCTCCCTTACAAGGTAGGAAGACCTTCAGGTCTGACTGAGTTGGTTTATCTCCATTTGTGTTATTTGATTTTGACAAATTCGCTGCGAAGTGGGTCAAAAGAGAGATGTGTGCATCGTTATATATATATTATATTTATTCACACCTCCAAATTCAGAAGCAAGTATTCAGGAGAAATGCGAGGACATGAGCAAAGGCAAACTATCACCAACTTGTCAGCAAGAAAAGGCTTACGTTTTAATGTAACACTTAGATGAAATTATGGATCGAGTTGCGTGGGTGGGCTTAGTGCAAAATATTCATTTTTCATTGGGAGCCCTGTCCCAATACATGATTTGACACCTTTTTGTCTAAATGGTTGCTTTCCTTGAAAGTGAACTTATACATATTTACACATGTGACTCCTGAAACTTTATGCCTTCTCAAAGTCTTGCTTTGTAACAGTTTGTTCCTGGTTGCCCTTACATAGACTACTTGTACTGACAAGCCACAAACCCCTCCCAGACCGGTGCGAAGTGCAGACTTGTGTGGGGTACAAATGTTCTTCTGCACGTCCCAATTTGCAGGACATTTTTGATGACCATTTCTTCCAGGACGGGCACAGTGGGCATTTGCAGTGGTCAAGATGTCTCAGAAACAGTGCTTTCAGGAGTATTGGGAACGCAGACCACTGCACTACTGCTCGGCCGACAAAGGATCCAGCCAGAATCCAATTGAGGAGGGTGTGGTTGTTGGTGTTGGGACTTGCATTGTTCAGGTGCAAATCGTTTGCCAGAAGCACTGTTCGCAGACGATCTGGCAGCTGCAATTGATAGCGCTGCAGGTGCTGGAGTTTCCAAAAAGATACTTAAACTCACGTTCAGCGTCACGTGTCAGGCATGAATCTCAAGATGTTCAGATCTAATGAAATGAGCGACTTGAAGAGTCCCTGTGAAGAACTGAGTCCTTGTAGTTTGCACTGGAGTGTGGACATTCTTAGCAACAGGGATGAAGTGAGATTCTGAGGGCACTCATACTTGGCTGGATTCTCTATGGTGATCAATCAGGCTAGGTTTGACACACATGTGCATAATGTCCATGGTGCGGTCTTGCTGAGTCATTTGCTCCGAAGTTATTCTTGGTCTGAGGCGGATCGCCATCACAAAGTGCTTTTTGATCTGTGCAAAGGTGAGATTGTGAGCCTCTCTTTCAGTTTTGCACATGTTGACCCTCTAAGGTCTTGCGAATCGTCACTTTCATCATGTCTTCGCAGTAGTGTACTTAACGCCACCTGGATCGCAGGCTGAGACTGAGACTTGACTGTTCTGATTAGCATTGTATGCATCCTTTACCTGTCCGATGTTCTTTGAATTGCAGTCCATTTTTGACATTCACCTAGTGGTTGATGTCCGGCAGGCGGTCCGAGTGCACACCGACGACCAAGATGTTATTCTGCTTCAAGTTTGGGGAAGCAAGCACTGGACCTTGTACAATGCTCCCACGCATTTGCCATACACAGAGGAGAATGCAGCATCCGGGCAAGTCACTGAAAGCTACTGAACTTGTACACCTGGAGCTTGCATTCACAGTGATTCACCAATTCAGGAGATGCTTGGCAAAGAACAAGCAGTGCCAGAGAATTTGATTGGAAAGAAGGAGATGGACTTCACAATTCATCCTCACGATGCTTTTGAGCTGCGATTGTTGGAACAAATTGTCAGATTATGTTTTGCCTTAGCTACAGGTCTATGTCTCCTTATTTGGGTTCGGCAGAAGAGCCCTGTAACTTGTTGTTTGATGATGTGGTCCCAATTCTAGTTACAAAGGCGCTTAGAAGCCAGTTGGGTTTTTGGCTTGTGTCAACTAAGACTAAGGTCCTCTACATTCCGCGTGGGCATTTGCATGAGGCAGCAACAAGCTCTGAACCCTCTTTACATATCACCCTTACTGTGCCGGGAGCCCAACAAGCTGCGAAGCCTCAAAGCCCACTTCTTTTCAGCAGCTTTCAGTCCAGGCCGACAAGTGACTTCTGTTGGGGTGTGCAGATGGTGAAGCACCTCAATACGCATTTGAGGAGCTATGCATTCCTATATACTTTGTTTCAAGCCTTTCAATTGTAAATTAAGTTTCTGCAGGAATGAGCCTTTCAGGCCAGATTTGCGTTCCCTCTGCCAGGTGCGCAAGCTTGCAAAAAGATGGAAACCAGCACTCCACAAGTTGAGAATCTCTTTTCCCTCTGAGGCCTCCTTGGCACAATGCTTGACAGGCCCAGCTCAGCACAGCGAGGAGGAATTAGATTCCCAGATTCAGGAGAGGTCGGACACGCAAACAGTTGAATTGAAGGTAGCATTTGTATGCACGAAACACGTAAATTACAGAACAAAGGATTTTACCGGGCTTACTCTCCAGGAAGTATTGTCTACTTGGACATCTAGCCTGAGTGCAAAAGCTGTGCTCAACGCCTTTGAGCATCGGATGGTCGGGCACTGAGCTTCCTTGGAGTTTGTGCCACATATGCAAAACAACTCTCTTGCAGGACAAAGCAAATTTTGGCCAGGACCAATCCTGCAACCAGCGACCATTTTGTGACCAATGTCATGTGAACAGTACCAAATTTTTCTGCCCTAGCACGGGCAAGGTGAAGAGGTTCGATAGTTGGCTTCTTGCAACATTGTTTGCTATTAGGTTGGATGCCATTGCTAGTAGGTTGGAGGCAAAGAAAGTTTCTCGTTCTGCTTCCGCTTGCGTTCTTGTTTCCAGCCTAGAGGAGCAGCAATTTGCCCGGCTTTCCGGCGAAGGCTCTATGGCATTGATCACTCGAAACAGGAGGCGATTGAGTGTCACTCTTAAGCCTTCACTCTTTCTCGGAAGTCTTCCAGGGTGCGGCTGATGCATGGAATCGTCTGCCTTTGCGAAGAAGGCATTCTTTTCTTACAGAGTTTTTCTGGCAAAGCACACTTTCTGGTGAAGAAAAAATAATGCGATGTGGCTCTGCAGAAGCACAGACCCACCCAATCAAGGTGCTAAAGCAACCCAGGCCCATAGCGATCATAGTGTGCAAAGATCCAAATCATATGGCATTTAGCGGAAAGAGAAGAGAATTCCTTGTCCTCGTTATCCCTTCTCTATTCACTGTCTTCCTAAACCTTCCTCGTCCTCATCTCACTCTTCTCTTAGCAGGTTCTCTCTCACCTTGGCTCATGTGTATGGTCAGGCCGGTAAGGGCAAGGAAAGATTGCTTTTCATTTCAACCGAATCCGCTGGCAGGGCTTGCCCTTCCTCCAACAAACTTCAAAGTGGACAACGGTTTGTAGAGTCTAGTTGTCTTTCCAAGGGCCATTGACCCATTTAGTGTTGGAGAGAGAGGGTAGGGTTGACCATACAGAGTGTTCATCAACTCCTCATGGGGCACATCACAAAGTTGCTTGTCTGAATGCACTCCCTACCCTTGCTACGCAGTGTTTGTACCGGGTTTCATTGACTCTTCCATGAGTTTGGTCTGCTGATTGAACGCAAGAGGTGCCATTGGAAGCATTTCCTTCGCCCAGCTTTATCCTTGGGTGATGACTACTCGGCCGTCAAGTTAGGTGCCCTTTTTGGTCTTGTCCGGCCTCTCTGTTCCCTGCACCCTTTCCAATTCAAGGACCCCCGCCCTTTGTTCTATCCTCATCATGCTTCCATAGGCTGCAATCGAGCGACAACAGGAAAGGGAAGTTGTCGTTCATCAAGAAAGGTAGCCTCAGCTACTTGAGTTCTCCTTGCTTTGGCAATTCACTGAGTAGAGGGGCAGCTTTTCCAATTACCTGTATATAGATCAGGATTTAAGCAGTGATTCTTTTCATTGGAGGGCCCCCCCCCACTGGTGGCTTTTTTTTGGCCGTACGCGCCGCCAGTCCTCCTGTAGCGCTGTTTTCATGCTAAATCATTGAGATATTCACACATGACCAGCAAAGATTCCTAAACATAGATTCAATGGTGATATGAACAAGGCAAAAAACAATGTCTTGATTTGACTCCTCCTCCCAAATAGAGTACAACAAAGACACAATTAAAATCAAGAGCAAAGTTTCTCTAGTATGCAATTGTTAGTTAGTTATTGTAAACACACAGTAATACTTCCTTTACTTGATTTCGTAAGGGACTTATTTCTTAAATGTATTTCCCTTAAGAGAATTCAACAAAGTTGACACATTGTATTCATTATATATAAGGGCAACTGCCACCGGCACATAGGGTATAATATTCTCTCTTACAGGCAATCGGATTCATCATACTCAGCCAACCTCTTAGTCTTAGATATTCTGGATCCGATTGCCGTCCCTGTAGTCGACATTCCACCCTCACGGACCACAGGTCAACGTCACCTCATCATTCTATCTTTTTTGCAGTACCTCCTTCCAAGGCTCCATCCCAACTTTTACCAATCGCTCTCCCTGTGGAACATGTTTCAACTTTGCCTTGTGTATTACAGAAGGCCCCTTTCCTCAAGATGTTCCTCAAGATTGTGGAACATATTCCCCTTCCGCGTCGCTTCAGTGGTTCTGACATCGCTTTGGAAATCAAATACCTCTCACCAAAACTCACATTCCATTCTGTTTCTATCTTTCGTCCACCCGCGTCTGCCCTCAAGTATTGGAAGCCTGATTGGGGCCTACTGTGCGGTCATGTTTTGTTTCTTATTTGACAGTTTTTGTGTGCAGTTTTGCGTTTCACGCTCAGCTCGTGTCCTGGAGAGCATGGAAGGAGGAATAAACTTTTGTTTTGGGCCAGTTGTAGGAGTTCTTTGGTTTGAATTCTTGACACCACACCGCCTTTTCCTTCTATGTTTGTCTCACCTTTTCCTTTGGGGCGCCGAGAGAAAAATAGACTAAAAAGAAGTAATTCCAAATGCATTTTTGTGCTCCTTGTTGCACTTAGTTGATCCGTGAGGTAGTGAAGAAGCAATCTTTGCGCGGCCGGATGGCCGCTGCATGAAGATGAAGGCATTTGCGATGTTTTTTTTTTTAAAATAGAGACCTTGCAAGCGTCGCAGATCACAATTTCAGCCTCCAAGCTGATTCGTTCACTCACAGCTACTTAGTTGCATTTCTGCCAGAGATGTGGGAGTGCCAGAGTGAGTGCTCAGCCGTCTTGTGAAAGCCAAGGCCACACCTCAATGGGTGAGGGACTTGCCGTGCACAGATGGGTTCGAGAGACTATGCATCCTGCACGTACTCTTGGACGCTGGGGTTTGGGACTTACGATTTGGTGCGAGGGGTTTGGTGGTGTTCATAAGGCCGCTACAGGGCATTATTTTCAACTACTTTCAATCTGATTCTGCCGACAAGGTAATCCAAGTCTTTTTGCATGGCCCGGAAGAAAGCTTGGAGACGAACGAGCACTCCAAGCAATGAGACAAGTCCAAGAAGTCCGTAGGAACGATTTGTACATATGCCGCATCATATGCCTTTGTTTTATTTGAACCAAGTGGACAGCGGGAAAAAATCATCCATCAAAGTGTCCTCTCCAAATCTTTGGCAAGTCAAAGCTTGTCCTCTTTGGCAAATCTGAAGCAGCGAAGCATGCTTGAGCAATGGGCAGGCCGCCGGCCGGGGACGAGTTTTCCGACAGGCGCAGCAGACGCAGCAGATTGTGCTTGATGAGAGGAAGGTGCAGAAATAATAAGAATATCCGAATTTTGTATTTTTATCAGATGATTAAGACAATTGGGGAAGAATAGTACCATATTATCACATGCCCACAAAAATGTACCGTTTATACGGTCTCTCTCTCCGCTGCTTTGTCTCGCAGTGACCCACTTCTTCAAGGCACTAAATGCCATTCAAGAGTTGACCGGTCTGGCCCTGGGACTTCCTTCAAGGAACTTCTTGAGATCATGGTCTTATTGGAGGGTTTAGACGCAGTGTACCAGGCGGTCGGCGCGAAAAGTCAAGAGGTCGTCAAGTAGCTTTGACATTACTTTATGGTGATACACTCAGAAGCAATGCTTCCACGCTTTGAGCGGAGGCAATTCAGGTATGCATTGTGCATTCAACAGTAGTGGGCATACAACAAAGCTTTCTGAGGGCACTCATGGAGCAGCCTCCTTCAACGCCTGGTCCAAAGCTCAGACGTTGGGGCTTCAAATGAAGTAGAAGGCTACTGGCTTGACCAATGGCACAAGAAGTGCATTTTTAAGGAAAGAGAGGGGAACGGGTAGAACCGGGTGGGACCCGGTAGGCCGCGAGGTAAGCTGTACTAAGTAGCTCTTCGTTTAAAAGCGATAGCTTATTCTAGCTATCCGGAACACACTACTAGATACTACCCACACGCAGGAAAGCTCAGACTTCTTCAAAGAAGCCCCCCCCGCCCTCACACTATTCATTAGGAACTTCCTTGAAGGAGCCCTCGCACTATGAATTTGGTTTCTATTTTTTTTTAAACCTTTGACATTCTATCCTATGTATCCTGTCTCATTTTCTTTGTTTTTTCTTGATGCCTCTTAAGTCATGTCGTGCTGCAGAGCCAAGCTAAATCTGCACGAGGGTCCCTTCATGTCGAGGTGTCCCACCTTTGCAGGCTTGGCTTTGCATGGCCTTTGCTTGTGGTAGCGACCTTAGTTCGTTGCAAACTGTCCTCCTCAAGAGGGCCATTAATTGCCATCAATTGCAGAGTGGCATGCGTAGGTGTTCAGCTGTGTAGATGAGCTATGTGAAGGCAACCCAGACCAGACTTAGAAGTTTGAGCTAAGGTGTCCATTGGACAAGAGGCTTACGAGGCAATGTTCCTGTCAGAGTTCCGAGAACTTATATGATATGCGAAAACTCGAATAGGTCCGAGTACCGCACTGCACATCAAGTTGGCAGGCATGCCGCCATCTCCGAAAGTCAGTCAACTTGAAAGTTTCTTGCTGGAGTCTGTTCCTTGGAGTTTGAGGTGGTGGGACTCCCCAAAGGATGTTAGTGCAAAGACAGGTGGCTTTGCTGAGGACCGAATACAGAATCGCAGGTCCACAGGCGATGGCTTTGCTTCTAGAATTTGTGCAAGCTTTCAGAAGTAGAAGCGACAGCTTTTCAGGTTTACCATTGTACACATTCTTTTGCACCTTGGTGTGGATGTTTTCTACTTCGACATGGATGCGCCTGGCACCGAGAGTGCCGGTGCCATAAATGCTGTTGGGAGAACCTCGTTTTTCACTTCACCTGAGGTTCTTTCTACAGAACCCCCTACCTGCCGTGCTGTCGCAGGCGTGCGAAATGGGTGAGAGGAAGTCAAGCTGAAGTGCTGTAACAGTAACACAGAAAGTTCCTTGCCAACAGGCCCTTTGCTTGATTTGGCTTTGCCTTTCTTTGCTTGCTTTTGGCGTTGTTTCGCTTTGCTATCTTTTTTTCTTTCTTATCTTGTGTATACTGTCCTGCGCCCACTGCCGTGCTTCTCAAATGGTAAGCATTTTGAATTGTTGCTCTGTCTTTTTGTCAATTCTGGATTTACTTCTATAGTATAGTTTCATGCATTCCTTGGTGCATCGAGTACAAGAGGACGAGGCGCAGGTTCGTACCCACTCCTTACAACTCACGACCCCAACCTGATCTCGTACACCACCGGGCAACAGATCAGTGGAGTCACCTGTCACTGTCACCTCGTCCGATCTAGCAACCCCCACAACCTGATTGGAGCAACAGTGATTGGAGCAACCCCCTGCTTGGAGAACTTTTTTTGGGCTGGGGATTCAGGATGCAAACTGCGGAGCAGAGCACACTACACTCCTCTACTTCTGGAAAGACAGGGAACTTTTTGGCTTGAAAGAAAGTGTAGGGGCTGAGCCATGCCGGGCATTTACAGCCAGTGAAAAAAAGAACATGGGAAATCAAAACCACTTGTCATTGCCTCAACAAGGCACCGCAGTGGGTGACAAGACGTGCTTTGCAATGAAGTGGAAACATCATGCCCCCAGCCTAATAGGTGGCTTTCTCTCACATGGCCAGGCGAGGATGAAGAACCACGAAACAATTTTTGCGTCGCATGGTGACGGAGATTGCGTTTTTACCTCAGATCTTCTTGTGGGAGAGCTATATACTGTAAAATGTGTCTTAGATGGCGAGCCCAGCAACTTTACGCAGATAAACATTGGTGTCTTCTACATCAAATCGACGTGAGACTCCCAGATCAATCTGAGCATACAGGATTAATGTGCAGAGTGATGATGCTCAGGATCCGCACGACAATGTGGTTCTCTCAGTTTCTGGAGTGGTGACCCCCTTCTACAGAGATGAACAGTTAAAGTTGAGAGCTATATTGTGAATGAATGCCTTAGCTTGAGGAAAACAGATGCCCCAACCGTTTGAGTCCTGGGAGTCCCAGGTGCTATGAATATAGGGATTGTGTTCGATGAAGGTTTGCCCTAACGCAAAGTGAACCTGACGCCTCGTCTCCTTCGACTCTCCTCGCTTTTCAAAAGGGGGCTAAGTATGTAAAGGAGGTAAGCTACTAAGCTATCCGTTAGCTACTAAGCTCCGACGCAGGAAAGCTTGCGCTTCCTCAAGGAAGCTCCCCCTCGCCTGAGGGCGGGGGGGGAGCTTCCTGGAAGCAGCGGTCGGACTATTCATGTGGTTCAACCGTTTCTTTTTGGGAAACTTGTTCTTGGAAGTTTGGGCTGCGACCTTTATTTGATTTTCACCTTTATTTTGCCTTACCATTCACTGTCTCATGTCATTTTGCCTGTGTTATGGTCCAAACGCTTGGTTCTAGTGGATCATCACTTTTAGTGACGATGACATAGTGCGAGCGTTTTTTCAAGGAAGCTTCCTTGAAGAAGCGTGAGCTATCCTGTGTCCTGTGTCCTGTGTTCTGCTCCTAGTAGCTTAAGTAAGCTACTAGCTACCTAGCTACCTCCGCGGCCTAACCCCCCCTGCGGGCTTTAAAAACAGTTGTGGGTGCGTCACCACTTCAGACTTCGCCTGCTTTGGTCCCACTCGTTTCATTTTTCACTCTCATGACTTTTTCTCATTCCACCATCTCAGTGCAAGGTGGTTTCTTCCCTTTGAGCTTGATTGCTGCTGTCATACAGGTTAGGACAGCAATGTACATGATTTTGCCCCATCTGCAAACGAGAACACGAGTTCACATCCACTGATGGCATCTTGAGCCGACGAACAGGCTTGTGCGCTTAGCAGCCGTTTTTGGAACAAGGATGGACATCATGAACACGGTGCTTTGACCAGTTTATATCCTAGTCTTGTTCAGTTCAAATTCTAGTCTATGCCCAAAAAGAGACAGGAACCTTGCAGATCCTTGAGCATAAACCAGGAAACACATGTGACGAAGGCAGATCAGCCACTGCACACATTACCAAATCAATTTGCAATGGGAAGGCGTTCGCCCCGCTCTCAGACTGCCAGATGGGCATATCACGTTTGCAACTTTGGATACTACCCAAGAGGTCGCATAAGACATCAGCTTTTTCATTACTTGTGTGACATTGCCTTTCAAACTTGCTTGGCTGATTTGCACACTCGATTGGACATTCTGATTCCTTTTCTACAGCTTGCACCCACAGGCATAGGGCACTGTTGGTTGTTTGTGCACTTGCAGCTGCCTGAGCGCCCAAAGTATCTTTTTAAGGTTCAGACACTTGCACCTGGATATGCGCCTTTCCTGTTTTGCTTAGGTTGCTTTTAGAAGAAGCTTTACAGGCATAGTTTACAAAACCAAGTTGATACTGTTGGATTGGCACGCTTTTCCAGCCATGTCGTTATATCGGTCTTTCAACGATTGAACACTGTAAATTCATGTGCAAGGCTTTGTGTTTCTAAAGACTGCAGAACTCGGAACATCCAGGCGTGAGTTGTCCTTCATACTTTCTGAGTAGACATTTTGGCTGTCTCAACATTTGCGTTTTGTTGTTGCGTCCAAGGCGGAGTCATCTCACGGCGAGATATGCGGAGTCTCCTCTGGACAGACCTGTAATTTCGGGATCCAAAGGCATATATATATGTATATGCGGTACCCCCCCACCAATACCTCTTTTAGTTTCTTTTTGGGATTTGTTGTGTTTTATGCACATTGTTTCTGGTTTGTTTTGGGGAGCAAATTTGAGGTGAAAGCGGGTGCCACACACACATATATATATATATTTACTTATTTCTACTTATTTCTACTTACTGTTATTTATGGTGCACATACCCGTATGGGATGAAACAGTCCTTTCTAAGGTTCACAATGCCCCAATGGGGCATGGGGGAAAAAGAAAAATCATCGAAAAGTATCAGCAGACTTTTTGATTGTTCCAGATAGAGTACATGCAAACGAATGCATGTTCGCCGCACAGCCTTGGCTGGGCGGGTGTGGAGGGTAAAAAACCCTTCAAATCTAGATAGCTCTGCTCGATGGTAGTCGGGGGGCATGGACGATGTGGACTCTCTACAAGGCGCAACGGCAACTTTGTGGCTTACGCTTCCGAGCTCATCAGATGGGGCCGAAATCAATTTAGTCCGCCCGACCACTGACAGCCTCATGACAAAGGGCGAGGAAGG